TACCACTTTGTTTGTAACTCTGTATTGTCTGTATTGTGCTTGTGATATGTTGTAAAATGTTGTATGTCTGTTAATGTTTCCCTCCTTTTATTTTTAAAATAAAAAAAAAAGAAAGGACAGTGTCCCATAAGTGCTCTCTCTTGACCAGCACACATTTGATTTAATTACTAAAAATTTTTAAAAATTTTGCTACATTATCAGCAACTTGGTGAAGTCGGAGGTAGTATTATTTTCAAGTAGTTGCGGGGGGCTCAGATTCAGAGATGAAGGCAGAGCATGTCAAAGCAGAACCCCAACACGGACAATTTATACACACTTTACCCAAATGACCAAAATGTCTGCCTTCTCCTATGACAAATTATTCAATCAGTTGGGAGATGATGTAGAAAAGCAGAAAAAACTTTCCATACTGACTGTTATAATTACTTGGTTTGTAATAACATCAGTTTTCTGAGCTCTGACCCCAGGACTTATTCTAATGGAGCCAGTTTTACCCTCCACAGTCTTCATGCTCCTGATGGTCTCAGCAAAACTTGATCACTATCACTCACAAATTTCTAACTCTGATTCACAGATGGATTTCAGGAGTCTTCATACATTTTAGGAAGTCCTTTTGCTTCCTTCTGACATAATATACATTACAGTGTCAAACTTAAAATTTTACACTGCATCCTAAATATTTTTATTAGAAATACTAATATAGTGGCATAAAATATTAATCCTCTAACAACTATCAGGTCTTGCTTATGAGCAAAATTCCTTGGTCTCACAAAATTGTATCCTGTCTTACACAGAGAAATGTTTAGGGGGAAAAGTAAATTTATTAATAAGCTAGTATATTATAGAAGAAATGCAAAGAAATCTTCTTACCTGAGGTGTCAGCTCTACTTCCAACTCACCAGATAAGAACTGTCGTTCAAACTCTGCATTTTCTCCCACATATGAAGAGACCATCCGTTTTATCTGCTTAGATCGAAGTAAAAGGCCCAAGCCAAAGTTGTCGACCCTGGAAGAACAATGACGCTTACAATCACAGGAACATCCGATAGAACACTACTGTCATATAATTTTTTAAAGGGTGAAATTTTATTAATTTAGAGGAAAAGAAATCCTCTCTGCTGTGTATTTACCGTCTTTGAGGTGGTATTATGAAGATGGACATTCTTTTTTAAAAGTTTACAGTTAAGGAAACTAAAACTTAAAAGGTTAAGTGATTGTTTTCCCCAAGATTTCAAGCAGCTATGGATACAGTCAATTTCCAAACCATATTCATCCAATAATTCTCAGAAGTTTCTGCTTTCTACTACTGCAAAATGATCCGGGGTTAGAGACTAAGAGATTCTTGTCCTGTACTCCGGAGGAGTAGATGAGTGCAGTGGCAATATAATGACTTCAAAGGAAAATCTGGATGGAGAAGTTCTTTCTGTGCTAAAAAAGAAAGATGGGCATTCTTGTACTTAATGAGAAAGAAGACTGTCACACCCAGTGAAATGTGAATCCAAATTATAAATGACTATATACATTTTTCCTATATCATAGATATTTTGCTTAAAAATACTAACATACTTGACCATTCTGAACAAAAACAAATCAGCAAATTATTCACAGACAGTGAAAAAGTTATAGGCAAGAAGAATAATTCTGTATCTGTTAAATTACATTTACATTGATTTAAATATCTCTTATTTTAAAAGTTGATGTTCAATTTATTCTTAGATTAGTGAAGGTGGTGTTGGCTCTTTTTTATCAGACAAAGGTTTTCAGGTTTTTGCATTACTTCACATTTCTATCATAAATTTCAAGCAAAATACACCTAGAGTTTTAAATAAAATCAACGTAACAAGATAGGTTAATAAGTGAATGAGTACTTTTCCATTTCCAGTCACCTTATCCCTCCCCTCAAAATTTCAGAAGTATTTTAACCAACTACAGAAAGAAAACACTTCTAAGATAAAAAAGAAAACTAGATTTTAAGCTATAAAATTGACTTTTGTGGTACTTGAGATCAAAGCCAGGATTTGAACATGCAAAGAAAGTGTTGTAAGGCTAAGCTATATCCCAAGGTCCTATAAAACTATTTTTAAGAGTAAAATATATTTAGTGGTAAAAACCACAATGAGATGCTACCACAAACATCTCATTGGCTAAATAAAGAGAAGAAGTATCCAGTATTTGATCCTGGCAAAGATGTGAAATACCAGAACTCTCATATATAATGAGGAGAATGAAATTTGACACATTCACTTTAGAAAAACTGGTAGCAGGATCTATTAATGCTGACTACTCATATGCTAGGACTCAGCAGTTCTTGGATCTGCACCCAACAGAAAGAAATACACAGCGTGCACCAAAATACGTACACAGCATACTATTTTCTTCATTCTGGCCAAAATTAGAGCTTCCCAAATGTCCATCCACAGTTGAAGAGATAAATAAATATGGTTTACCCACACAGTGGGATATGATACAGCATTGAAAATGAATCATCTATAACCACTGGCAATAATGGATTAATCTTGAACAAAATATTGAGAAAAATAAGCCAGACACAAAAGGGCAAATGCTGAATTATACTTTTATATGAACTTCAAGATCAAACCAAAACTAATATACAACATCAGAAGTGAGGATAATGGTTAACCTAGATAGTGAGAAAAGAGAATAGTGACTGGAAGGAGCATGACAGGGTTTCCTGGGGGAACTGGTTCTTATTCCATTTCTTTAGTTGGGTGTTAGTTACTTAGATGTGCCGTTTGTACATCTCCTGTAAAATTTATGTTGCCTTTTCTGTATTATTCTATACATTGCTCCATGTTTTTTTTAAAGCAGAAATACAATGGTAAAGTACAGAATGCTTCCAAGAAGCATAAATCCTTATTTACTTTCTCTGTACCTTTTTCTATGGAGCTTCTAATGTCTATAGGATTCACTCATCCAGTAATCTCTTACCGGTGCCCACTCTGCCCCAGCACTAGGATGCCTGGCTCTGGGGCTACTGCCGTGAATAAGCCTTGCCCTGTCTTGTAGCCTGGTAGTTCTGACAGTATATAGGAAATAAACATATAAACCTAAAACTTAGAACAGAGAGATAGATGTGGTAAGAGAAGTCTGCATACTGTTTGCCAAGAACACTGAAGACTGAGAACACAGTTCTTGATGGAGAAAAGGGTCAACAAAACCGGACAAAAGGAAAAAAGTCACATATAAATGGATGGAAGCTTACAGGATATACAATTAATTGAAGATATTCAAAACCCAAAAGCAGAGGGAATATTTAAGAAGTTTTGAAATAGTCTAAACAAGCAATAATGGGCATTTGAACTAATGCACAGGCAATAGGAATGGAAGAAAATGGAAAAATCAAGAGATATTCAGAGGGAAATGATTCATTTTTAAGACTCACTGGGGCCAGGGATATATCTCAGTGGTACAAGCACCTGCCTGGCAAGTGCAAGGTCCTGAGTTCGATTCCTAGTACAAAAAAAACCTCACTGCCCATCCTGGCATAGACACAACTCACAACTCACTGCAGAATTCTGGGTTTGGCCAATGCAATACAGGGGAGAGTGTGCCGAGGAAAATTAATCTAATGCTTACAAGGAATATCCACTTGTTTGACAGGTAAATACACTGTATGGGTCAGCTTTTCTGCTGCTGGGACAAAATACCTCACGCCATAATTTAAAGGGTTAGTCTGACTCATAGTTTCAGGGATTTCAGTCCAGCTTCAGGGCAGGAACACAATGACAGAAAGAGGTGCTGAGGCAAAGCAGTGTAGTTTATGGTAGCCAGGAACAGAGCACAGGGAAAGATCATTACACAGCAAGGGACAGGGGCCAGATACTGTCCCCAAAGCCATGCATTCATAACCTACCCAGACACACCCAGAAATGTGCTTCACTAATCCCTCAAGCCAATCAAGTTGAAAATCAAGATTCTAGCAGCTTGTGTGACAACCTAGTGACATTTCCTTTAATAACCGCATTTCCTCTACCTTTACTCCATTCTCCAGTCTCTTCTTCACACTAACAGATGCCCATTCTAGCTCAAATGACTCCTTAAAATTTATCTCTTACCTCCCTTTTCACAGTGTACACCTCAGAATGTCCAGGTAATAAGTGATTGTCTAGCTGATAATATTCCCCATCCATCACAGGTATAAAAATAGCTGTATGATTTATGCTCCATCCCCTCATTTCAAAATAGAACATGTACAAAACAAATATTCTCAGGAGAGTACTTTGAGGAGACAGAAATTCCCTGCAGAGAGACCTTTGCCCACTAGAGGTCTCCATACCACAAACGATTCTCATCGGTTTCCGTAGTGTAGGGGTTATCACGTTCTCCCCACACAAAAGATTCTCCATCTCTCTTAAACTGTCACCAGTGCTCACTCACACATGCTTTCTGACTAGACTTTATATTTTTTAATTATTTTTTCTAACCTACTACTAATAGCTGGATAGATCCCCCCCACCAAGTTCTTCAGGTTAACAATTCTACCTCCCCGCATTTAGCTTCCCCTATAGCCTTCTACATCTCACCTGATGGTGAGTAGAAAACTAACAAAAGTAAACCTCACCTTTTCTCTCTGAAATTTACCAAAATAAATCCTGACTCTACCTGCAAAATCCACCCAGAAACACACCAGTCCTCATGCTCTCTTCAGTGCCCTGTGCCATCTCTTGCCTGGCTCCATAGAAAATGTCCCGGCTTCTGTCCCTGCCCCCTACAACTCACTGCCTACGTGGAAACCAGCGTGAATCCTATAAAGCACAGCAGGTGAATGATCTGTTCAAAGCAGTGAGCTCGCCTGCTCAGAAAAAGCGGCCATCTCTAGAGCAGCCTGCAAGGCCCATGTGATGAGATGCCTTCTATGTCTCGGACCTCACTCCCATTTGCCTTTTTGCTTGCTTCTCTCCATACGCTAGCCTCCTACTGTCTCTCAAACATGCCAGGCCTGTTTACCTGCTGGCCTTCCCACTGGCCCTTCCTTATGCCCTCAGAGGGCCACACAGCTCACTCTCTGACTTCCCTCAAGTCCCTGCTCAGGTGCCACCTCACTGAGTCTCGTCCTCACCAAACACTGAAATACACCCCTCCCCTCTATGCTTCCGGTCCCCTGACTTGCTCGTCTTCTCCTTTCCATGGTATACTTAATGTTCTAACATACTGAAAACTGTACTTATTTGTTATGTTGATATGATTTATATCACCTACTTCTTTCTAGAATGGAAGGTGTACAAAGCAGGCATCTTGGTCCGTTGGTTCACTTTTGTACCCCAACCACCTGCAAGGTTATGCAGTACACACAGAAAACCACATATATTAAATGAACTTACTGCTCAATTCCACTTTGACCCCACCCCTACCCCATGACTCCTTTCTGGTAAAAATGAAAATCTCCAAGTCATTATTTTCTGTTTGCCCCCCGCGGATCTGTTTTCCAACATCTATCCTGCTCTATGCCTGGAATGACCAACATTTAGAATGAATCAAGGCGCTCTCTCTGAGGTTTTGAGTTGGGCTCAGCCGATGAGAGGCACTATCGGAAGGAGTCAGGGTGAGAGAACACTGATGCAAGGGTTTTTGTTCAAAGGGCTCTCTCCTTCACAAGTTGCAGGTTAGACAGCCTCCGATGCAACGCTTTCTTCCAGTACTGATAATGGCTGGCACTCACAGCACTCCTGTTACTAACTCATTTCCTTTTTCTTTTAAATTTTCCCCTTTCTTCCTTCTTTTCTTTCCTCCCTCCTGCCTCCTGCCCTTCCTCTCCTTATCTCCATGTTCAAAGTTATTGGTACAGAATCAGAAATTTTATTCAGAGTGAGATGGCATTTTGGACCCTCAAAAACCTTCTATACCTAAATAGCATAGAACTATGTACAAGACATCATTAAAAAAAAATCAGGCAGAATTTATTAACCTTCCACATGTAAGTAAGGACAGCCCAGTATTTATCTACATCCCAGCCCTCTTGAACTATAGTATAAAATAATCTGTTCACCAGGAAATGAGTATGTGTAACGTAACGAACGTATTCTGTCAGGGTCATTGTGATTAATTGATTGATATTTATATATGGTTTACTGTGAAACTTTTGGTTCAAACTGGCTTGTAAATCAAAGCCTTCCAAAAATCAAGGAAAGGCACATTCTGGACTGCTCACTTTTTAATAAATTCATATCGAACTATCAGTTCAGCTGTATGATCCTTAAAGGGGGTTTATCTCATCAAGACTAAAAGTTAATATTTATTACTAAGGTAAGTGGTATCTCAGGACAAAAAAAATGTTACAGATTATTAAAAATAAACAAAAAAAAAGGAGCCCTGAGCTTTAGGACAACTTCCAATTCAGGCAGATCCTTCCATTAAATGAGCCTTTCCAAGTGAAAAAGCAGTAACTACTTCTAATTCTAAATTCTGCCCAGTTACCCAAGAATCCAAAGCATGTCACTGGTTCTCCAACACAGGATAACTGAGTTTCCTTTAAGGCTATCTGACTTTTATGGCTAAAACAAAGCCCTTAGTCCTATAGAACTCTAGTTTTTAAACCCTCCTAATTAAAAGAATTAATTGCCAATGAGGGTTTGCAGCACATCTTACTTGTGTTTGTCAAGCAGGTTACCAGCATTCATTACGCATCAGGAATTTATAGTAATAAGCCCATCAGTGGCTTATAACTGCAGTGGTTCCATGAAATTTTATCACCTGGTAACCTCATGGGCAACTTAGTTTGTAAATAGGTGCTCTCTGAGTTTGTTTGAAGACAAAATCACATGAGTATGCATCTTTCAGAATATATCCCAACTGTCACACAACTCATCACCCTGTTGATCTGCAGCATCCCTTACAAGCATGGAATTATCTGGAAAACCTAACCAAGTGCTGATAATCAGCAGTGTTTGTAATACACATAAAGTCAGATCAAAGGGCACAGAGTGCGTTCATGAAATACCAAGGAAGCAGGAACAAGTTCCTTCTCTATAAGTTCCCTGGGATCCATACAAACAGATGATCTCTACAGTCGTATCCAGTTCCAACATGCCAGGACTCTGAGACTCACAGGCTAAGCATGGCAGGTAACATAAAACTATTGTAAGTAACAGGATCAATACCTAATATACATTTAAGAGAATAAATACAATTTAAGATACAACAAAAGTTAAAAGGTTCGAAAGGAATTAAGAAAAGAACATTAATGAGAACTACAAAAGTTCTATATTTGGATAAGCCTTCTTTGAAGATGTAATTTGAGTGAATCTTGAAAGATAAAAGAATACAGATAGGCAGGAAAGAAGAGAACCGTCCAGATGAAGATGAAATAATTGCATAAATAAACTCAGAAAAGAAACAAGAGCCAGGCATTGCGGCACAAACTTGTAATCCCAGCACCTCAGAAGGCTGTAAGTTTGAAGACAGCCTGGCTACACGGAGAGTTCAGGTCAGCCTGAACCACATAGTGAGATCCTGTCTCAAAAAAAAGAAAACAAAAGGGCTGGGGATTTAGCTCAGCGGCAAAGCGCCTGCCTGGCAAGCGCAAGGTCATGAGTTTGGTTCCCGATACCGGAGAAAAACCAAAAAAAAAAAAAAAAAAAACAAAGAAAACAGAAAAGAAAAGAAATGAAGAACACAAATGCAGCACCGGTTTTGCTCCCTAATTAACTTATAGTATTTATTCTCAATTGCTTTAATAATCATAAGTTAAACTGTCAATCTGGCTATTTTTTCAATCTTTTATAATCTTTAAAGTTTTTCATTGTTGAAATCAAGCAGATAAATTACTACTTTGTATACAAATAGCTTTTTCCAACATACCGAGATGGACCTTAGTGGCTTATTTATGGCCATTTTGATACACAATCCTAGTATGCTACGTACATGTCCTCCACCTTCCACCATGATCATCAATAGTTAATGATTCCCTTGATCCTTTATACATCTTACAGAGTATTGCCAAAACCAAAAGAAAGCACTTGAAACATCTCAAACTGATGTCCATCTTGCCTTACAAATAATGATCTAAAATAACAAAGGACATAAAGGATCATCTTCAAATTTTAAAATTAAAGCTTCAACTTGAAAATATATATTCTCACTTTATATAAGATAAAGCAAGTTTACTTTACATATGATTATGAAAGACGGTCCTAAAATCATTTGAATAATGTAACATCCAATACTGACCTTGTTAAACACTATTTTTTGATGCTTGGACATACTGCTCACAAAACTGGAGAAAACTTTCTTGGTAATCTGTTTAAGTAATATAAAGAATTGCCATTTTTTTCAACCAAATTTTTTTAAAAATGTACACTCACCCTGCATTATTGCTGACTGCAGTCAGTCCTTTCACTCTGGTCTGCAGCAGAGCGCCTATGAGGTTCTCTGGAATCCCACACAGCCCAAAACCTATAATTAGCCCAAAAGATAAACAATCTGTAAACAACGTGATGTCCTTTCACAGAAATGTGTGTGTTATTCCTCTTAATAACAAAAAATACAAAGTACATTATTAAATCTACCAAGTATATAGATATATCCAGTAACGCAATAAATGGTCACATAACTGGACCCAAATGTTTTATATAATTATACACCACCAGACATCATGTTCAAGTCCTTGAAGCATAAGCATAAAGTCAAGTGCAACAGGTTCTTGTGCTACAAGTCTATTATTGTCCCAGCTTATAATTCAACCCTCATAAAATTACTTTAAGCATGTTTGTTTTATACACAGTTTGCAGAACTGAAAGCCTAAGCCAATAATTTACATTTCTTTATAACTTCTGTAATTCTTAAAACAGAACTGGGTTTTAAAGATGGTATCAGTTGAAAGAATGAATGGAGAGCAGCTCTAAAAATAATCCTTGATCCCATTTATAAGAACTAGGCAGCAAGCTTAGTGAGTGGGAGACAGTGGTTCTAAAAGATCACTCAAACAGAAGCAGCAATAGAATGTGCAGGGAGCAGGCGATATTAACAACAGGTAGGTGCTACGCTCTCCATCTCATAGATAAGGAGTAATTTTTTATAGTACTGTAAGTGGGAGCCAGGACTGCACACGTGCTAGGCAAATGCTCTACCACTAAGCTATAATTTCAGTCCCGAAAACATTCCCAAGAATTTAGGAATTTTTCAAAGCTTCCAATAAGATATCTCCTTTTTGAAGCTTCAGCTTTGGAAAATAACTGGAAAAAGTACAAAAGGAAAAGTACAATATTGTGCTAAAATCTTGTTAATTTTTTAAGGGGGCACTGTAGTAAAATAAAAGGTAACACTATCTGTAACAGAAAAAAACAGGATAAATAATTGGCACTTCTAATCTACAGTTTGGTTACTATGATTCTGAAGCTTTGCAAAAAGTGTAAAGACATCACCATGAAAAGGAAAAACAATATGATCACTCACCACCAACCAGAATGGTTGCGCCATCGGGGATGTCTTTTACAGCTTCCACTGGATCATTGTAAAATTTGGTGTGGTGACAGTTACTTGTTGAAAAGTAGTAAACATATCCCTGAAACATTAAATATTTTAAGTAACTAAAAACTTGGAGATAAAGTTTTAGTTTGTATATATAGTAATTTACTCACTTATTATAACAAGCAATGATTTCACTATCTCATTTTTGTATTTTTGAATTAGTCAACATATAGAAATTCCATGTATTTATGGTGTACAACATGATGTTTTGTTACATGGATACACTATGAAATTACTTAATCAAGCTATGGAACATATCAACTCACATACTTATTCTTTTGTGGGAAGAACATTTAAAATCTATTCTTTTAACATTTTTCAAGTATACATAGTGTTATTAACTATAGTCACCAGGATGTACTGTAGACTTCTGAAACTTATCCTGTGTAACTGAAAACTTCATCTTCCAGGTTCCGATAACTGCTCTTTTACTCTTTGTTTCCATGATACAATTATTTTTTAGAAGTGTGAGACTCTAAGTGTTTCATCCTTAAAAGTAGGATGGACATATTTTAAGCACAGATTATTGCGGAATTCCATTATGATGCATTTCCTCTGTCAGGAGAGTAAAGCGGCCACCCAAAAGAATGAAAGAAGATAGTTCAAATGTTCAGATTCAAATTCTTAAAGATGATGTCCTCAGCAGCCAATGTCAGATAATAACCTTATCTTGCACTCAATCAATAAATATTTACTGAGCGCTTACATATGCCAAGTTCTGTGCTATTTAATCCAATGTAGTATTACAACATGACTGCTAATCTCCATGAAAATAAATACAGTGTGATTGGTACTACATATATCTATACAGTTGAGCCTCCGATCCAAACTGAGGAGCCACAGAATGCTTCCCAGAAGGACGGAAAGTCAAGAATAGTACATAAAATGACTCATCTCCCTATGGCACTAGTTCATAGATAGTGTAAAATCTTATTATCTACTATGAAGGCTACCTGACCCTTACCACAATGAACTATTTGGCTGTTATGGTTTGGAGATTTTTTTGTCACCTCCAAAACTCATGCTGAAATGCGGCCATCACTGTAAGTATGGAGAACTAGTGGGGCCTTCAAGTGTATTTGGGGGTCTCAAAAAGGGATTAGTATTGCTTTCAAGGACCAAGTGAATTTGTGTAACAGCAAGTTATTGTTCTCAGAGGACTGAATTGAATACTTCAAAAGTGAGCTGTTAGAAAGCGAGGCTGTCCCCTTGCACTCTGCCTCTCTTGCAGACCTGCTTGTCCTTCTGCTTCTCTGCAGTGTCATAAACACACAAGGCTCTCATCAGATGCGACCATCTAACTCTAGACTTCTAGACTCCAGAACTGTGTCCTAAATATACTTCTTTCCTTTATAAATTAGCCACTCTGCGATATTTTGTTACAGAACAGAAAAGAGATTAAGCAGGTCCCAAATGAGTCATCTAGTGAGCCTTCACCATCAGTTGTAAACTGTTCTCTTCTTTACTCCATCTACAGTATACACAAGAAAAAATAAGCATGCAAATTCTGTGCCAACCACTCATCACACTGAACATTACCTCTCCTTTAATCTCATACACTGTACATTCAACCTGTGAAGAGTGTAGAGAGAAAAAGTCCTGATACACTGCCACCTTAACAAGCCCAGCTGCAAGCTTGCACTTTACTTCCTAACAGTCTGCCCAACAGACACAAGGTTGAGGATATATAATGACTATCATTTTCTCTTCCCCTGGAAACTAATCTCATAAAAAAAGTGTTAATTAGCACAAAGGACTATTTAAGAGAACTATATGGAAAGAAAGTCAAATGAGAGATTAAAAGGTAGAGGCCATGCACGTGACTTCTTTCCATCTACATTTCTATTTTGGTCAAGGTCAGGTGAGGAGCTTCCACACTACTCAAACCTTGGGACAGAGATAGAAGGGAAGAGCTTGAGCCACAAAGAGCTTTTTTAAATTCTTTCCTGTCCTCAAGTAACAAGAATTCTTTTGCTTCTGTTTTAAACATACATACACACATACACACACACATAATTTTTACTCTTAGAAATTAAATTTGGTAGCTTGAATCAAGTTTGCACATGGACTGTAAAATAAATTTGAAGTATCTCCGAAAAAAAGAGTAAAAACACAGGTATCCAACCAACTCATTTTACAGGTCAAGTTTCTGAACCTTAGCAAGATTTTTCAATTTGCCCAAAACTGTGTTAAAGCAACCCGGATCCCAGGTTTTGACACCTGTTACAGAATCCTTCCACCACAATATGCTGTTCTCCACGTTTTCCAAAAGGCCTCTACTGTATTCTACTTCATTATTTATATACAACAAATCTTTATGAGTCTCTTAATTTTTTATGCAGAACTCTGCTATCATCATTTCCACCTAACAGTGAAGGAAGAAAATAAAGAATTCCTCTATACCCAAGTGGTCTTGTAGGGAGTCATTCTAAACTATTTCTCTGTAGACTGAGAAATGCAAATCCTATAGAGAGTAAATTGGAGGAAAACATTTCCCCCCACACAGAGAGGTTTTCAGATACATGAACAGAAGTGAAAGCACATGACCATCGTATTGTCAAGAATCCATTTCTTTCTTTCAGCTGAGAATTAGTGTTTTCAAGACAAATGAACAGAAATTACCCAGCAATTTATTCTATTCTACCCCCAAATTTTCAGAAGTATTTTAGGAAACGGATAAATTGGGCTAGGGCTATAACTCAGTGGCAAGGCACTTACCCAGCACATGTGAGACCCTAGATTCGATTCACAGCAAGAACAAAAAAGTAAATAAATAAGCAGAGAAATAAAAAACATAACTTTATCCAGAGCATCACAAGTTAAAAGCAGTAAGAGTGACATACTTCCAGGTGCTTGAGAAAGTTCAAGATAGCGAAGAACTTGTGGGCAACTCAGTTCGGTTTTATCATTAGTCATACATTAACAATATTTGTTGACATTTGTTATATGTTATATTAACATCTGATATCTACATACTGACAGTTCTTATCCTCAGAAAACTAACCACCTCCTGTGGTTAAAGTCCCAGTTCAGTCACAGTTGTATCAATCTGAGAAAATTACTTAAACTGTGAATATCTTTTGGGGAGGTTCAGCTTGTTTTACAAAAAGATGACAATTGTCTCCCCAAGTTATGGTGAGGAATAAATAGTAAAATATGCAGAAGCTCTGTGCCTGGACTACAGAAGACACCCAGGGAAAGTTAGCTTCCTCTGTAGAATGCAATCTTTTCTCCTCTCCTTAAGAAAACAAGATCAATTTGTCATTTATTGGAGTTTAATTTTATTCTCAGCCTCAATCAGCCCTACACACACACATACACACACACACACACACAAATTGCTTATTTCACATGCACACAAAACATTTTAACATGATTCACATGCTATATTGTTCAGGCTGGTCTTGAATTTCAGGGCTCAAGGATTCTCCTGCCTCAGCCTTCCAAGTAGCTAGGACTATAGTCACACACCACACTCCACAATAAACATATTCATTTCATTTGCAGTCAGATTTACCGGTCTGGATATTCAAAGACTGCAGGGCATGCCAGCAGTGTGGGCCCCAAGAGCAAGGCAAAGAGGAAGCAGGCTGCCTGCAGCTGGTTGCACCACTTAGGATATGTAAGGCCCAGAGCCCAGAGAGCTGCTTAGGACCTGCAGAAGCAGCTCCTCGAAGGAAGCTTTTGAGTTACCCTTAACCAGCTTCCTCTCTGCTCCCCTTTCCTATCCAAACTCTGTCTCTGGGAGTGAAAATCTGTGTCACTGCCAACACCACCTAAGATGAGGGAGCTAAGCAAAAACCTATCTCTCCTAACATTTACCTTTTATCTTAGATTATTGAATTCGAAGATGAGTTTTAAGCTTCTCTTAATTCGATCTCTACCTTCTAATATACTTTAAATACTCATATTATGATGTTTTTACAAATTCACCAGCTGGTACCAACTAAATAAACAACCTTCAAATTTTCAGAGACTACCTAAAAGAATTAGGAAGAATGAAATGTACAGTTTTGACACCCGTTATTCTGAGGACAATTTTTTCACCCAAGTCTTTCTCTAATAGTCACATAAAGTATTTTATGTTGCTTTTCCACCCCCCTACCTCAGCAGAACTCCATTTCAGTGTTGGTACTAGTTTCTGCCATTACAACAGAAGGAGAAAAATAATAATAACTGAGAACAGAAGTGAAAGAAACAACCCAAATCCTTACAGTGAAATTTTTTCTACTTCATATATTTCTCTTTTTAAGAGTTTCTTCGCCTTCATTCTTGAGCCTCTTCACATTTTTACAGCTAAACTCAGTTTTATTGTACCATTGTATCTAAATTTCATCTCATGACTTCCTAATCCCGAGTTTCCTTTCTTGCTAACCACTGCCACCACTATTTCTTTCACCCAAATCTCTTTCCTGACATTCAACAACTGAGAACTTAGTGAAAATGCACTTCTTCTAACAGTCTTTCAGTAAAAATACGCAAAGTATATTGCTTTTTTATTTTTAAATAAACATCTTAATGGTACAGAACCATACACCCAGGGGTTATTTACCTTGTCCGCTCAATGTTAAATAAATCGTGACACAAAAGGTTAATACTGCATTGCCCACTTCAGCATCACAGTTCGATCAACAACTGTGAGGAGGAGGGGCCACACATGGACTGAGGTGAAGAGAGCCATTTTAGAAGGAGAAAACAATATGCAGGTGAAAACACGCACTCACAAGCTTGCCTGGGGGGACACGGCACCACTGCGAAGAGGAGGTCTTACTGGAATGCACGATAAAGGGCCCTTCCCAGGACCTACTAAATTAGAAATTCCGGAGGTGAGCACAGCAATGCGTTTTATAAAGCACCCACGGAATTCTGGCATATGCTCAAGTTTCAGAGACAATCTACCTGCCCATCATTTGGGGGTTTGGGGGGGCGTTGTTTGTTTTTGTGTTTTTGCTGTACTGAGGGTTGAACCCAGGTGGTTATATATAGCAGAAAAACTCTGAAAGTTACTAAGTTAAATGCAGTGTTCTCT